GTAAATGTTTAACTTGTTTCCCGGTGAAGAGTTTCAGAGACAAAGACCAAAAAAGCTACTTGTGAAGTGAGCTCAAAATGACAGTTCTTGTAAAAGTCCTCAGCATTTTCCTTTGGATATTTTCCTTTAATATTGTGCGAGGTCAAGGCAAGTGATGCTGTTGTTCTTTCTGTCTTTGTGTAATGTTTGTCTGTGCTTCACACCACGTACATATAAAAACATTGAACTAGTTGCGGAAGCTTCATAGGCTGATGGTGAAAAAGTTTAGAGTGAACCACATGACAGTTTATACTGACTTTTATAGATTGATGTGTGAAAATGAAGAATGAAAGAAGTTATTGGGCACCATGAGCAAGTTAGAGAATGGTCAATATGATGACAGCATCATTTCTTGGTTATTAAATCAATTACATCACGCAGAGTAAAACTTGTTTGATTTCTGCAGTAAAAGTAAGAAAAAAAAAATTTAGTCACCCAGAGAGAAAGAGAGGAGGCAGGTGTTAAAGATGGAAAAGACAGCCAAGGCGTTTTTCAACATTCATTTTACGAGACAATTCATTGTTAGTGGAAACTACTACAGCTGTACAGCACACTTGATCACTACAGTGCTGACTTCTAAGAAAGTACTGTGTACTGTGTTTCTGTTGTTTCTGACAAGTAATTTGAAGACAGTCTTATGAGTGTTTAAGGGAAATTAACTCAAAGTAATATAACATATGTAGCACAGCACTAAGAGCACACAGTTACACAACCATTCAGAAAAGGCCATGACGGACAATAACAGTTGTTGTAGCAAAATTTCAGATGTCTTCAACATAGTTTCATTGTATACAAACCTAAATTGTTTTTATTTCAGTGAATTCACAAACGCCAACCCTGAGCTTGATTCCTGTAACAACTCAGAAAAGTACATTTGTCATGTGTGTTATTGAGGATTTCTACCCCATGGATTACTACTTCACTATACGATGGAAAGTAAATGATACCATCAGCCAGACAGAGCCAGTACTGGAGTACAAATTGAATGATGAAGGAGTAAATGATACCATCAGCCAGATACAGTCAAAACTGGAGTACAAATTGAATGATGAAGGTCGTTTTACAACACACAGTCTTTATAAAGTCAGCAGTGAGACATGGAATGCAAATACGAACTATACCTGCGAGGTCACACACCAGGGCAAAACAATTATTGAGAAGAAGAACTTCAAGTCATCTAATGGTAAGTCATCTAATGTGGGTTTGATCTCTCTAGCTCATTTTTTTTTTCACTTCTATAGATTCGAATGTACATATTAAATATTGACTTTCTTTCTCCTTTGCAGCTCCATTCACACTAACACCTTTCTTCACTTCTGTTTCAGTTTTTATGACTAACTCTTACTATGTGTTTCCATATCCCTACTATTACGCGCACTTTGACTAATACACTACTTTCTTTTTCTATTGGTCTCTGGAATTGTCAGTCTGCAGTAAACAAAGTAAACAAAGC